CTCACAGTTATTGACAGTAACATCAAATGAGAGCGCAAACTGAGGTACCTGGGTATCATTTTTGATAGAAGTCTGTCCTTCAGGGATCATGTGAAGGCAGTTGCGGTGAAATGCATAAAAGGACTCGATGCTCTCAAGATTCTAGCAGCAATGGACATGGAACAAAGAATGTTGTTCACAATGTTCTAGCATGTGACCCTGATGGTGATAGATTATGGACTTGGAATGCTTACCATATCAAAGAGTCAGATGATGAAACTTCAGCGCATACAGAATAAAGCCATGCAGGTAATTCTGTACAAGAGATAACCCGGTAGTATGTATGAGATATATACTTGCACTGCCTACTATAGCTGATAGGCTTAAAGTTCTGCAAGCAAAGTCATATCTTAGAGTAGCTGCAGACAAGAAGCACCTCCTGCATGAAGCCCTGGGTAGAGCTAAGGGTCCCAGACTGAAAAGAGAAAGGTCTTGGATGGCGCAAGCTGAAGACACGATTGGACATGTGTGCAGGCTCAATAAATTTAAGTGAGTAGAGGAATGGCTCAGAGTGTCCGAGCAAGTTTCAGACTTGTGTAGGGTTCTTATTACTTTAAGTCATGAGCGCAGTGACTGGCCATCTGGTGCTGCAGGATCAGAAGTTCAACAAATGATTCATGACAATACCCGCCCAGTTGATGTGATTGTAAATACAGATGATTCTCTGTTGAGACAAAGTGCATGGGGGTTCATAGCAAAAGTGAATGGATGTCGCTTGATGCAGCAAAGGTTGGCATATAATACCACTATATCTAGTTTGAGAATGGAATTGGGGCCAGTCAATGCTGCCTTCTGCTGGCTTGAGAATCAACTGTACACATATGCCGTGATTGTAACTGACTCGCAGAGCATGTTGAGAAAGGTGGAAACAGGCATGCTTCGTGCAGAGTGGCAAGCATCACTTCAGAGGTCCTGGGTAGTTAGTATCCTTTGGAAATGTTATCTAGAACATGCAGGTGTGTTGGGAAATGAGCAGGCAGATAGACTGGTTGGTTCTGCACCTCTTGTTGGTGAACTGATGTATGAGAAGATGGATGTCGTGAGGGCTCTTTGTGAGCCATTGAACAGTGTGGAGACACATATAGATCATTACTGTCTAGGGAGAATGGCGCTGCGAGGAGTTATAGGAAATCTGGCCGACACTCAACACTCAAGGGGAAGGTGAGAAAGATATATGATCAGACAGTTACTGGTGCAATAGGAATTGGAACTCTTCGCTTGCTACTGAAGATGGAAGGGGGGGGGGGGGGGGGGGGCGCTTATAGTGGTGACCCGAGTGCTGTGATGTCGATTCTTAATTCAACATTCAACATTGTTCAGAAACTTGCAGACTTTTTGTTTAGAAATGTTAGGTGTAGTTATATGAAAAGTTTAAATGATGAGGAACTTGGGAAAATAGTGTCATGCTTTAGCAACATTATTGCAACAGAATTGGTTCCAATGAAGTGGCAGCATAGTTACCTCATATCACTCCTGAAGCCAAATAAAGATTATACTATATTAAATGGTTTTAGAATTATTACATTACAGAATAATTTGGTAAGATTCTGGAAAAGGCAGCCGCAGGCAAATTACAGGATTAGCTAGAAAACCATAGACTCTCTTATCAAGAAGGTTAGGAAGCTACTGATCAAGAAAGGAAACCAGTGAAAAATGCTGTGACCCTGACTTACTGTATGTATGAGGGTTTCAGAAAATCAGGAAACAGTGGTGCCCGCACTGGATCTAGAAGATACATATATCAGGGTTAGATATGATGTTTCACTATACACACCTACGGATACAGAAGGCATTCCCTGGATCATAAATCGGATTGCAGCCGTCCTGTAAGAATGGCAGACTGCCTTTAGCCTGGGCTCATGGAGCTCTGAACCCTGTAATTTCACACCTGGCGTCCCACAGGGATCAGTCATCTCCCCAGCCTTTTTCAGTGTTACAAGCAGGATCGCAGCAATTGATGCAGTGGGTATAGAAAGAATCTTTTTGCTGGCGATGTCTTATTCTAGAGACAGGAGAGAAATAAAATTGAAATATCTTGAGAACTTGAGATCATGGTATACAAAGTAGATGAATGGGGTGAGGAGCAAGGCTTGGAGATCAATTCAGATAGGGTAGCAGTATTGTGGTGTTCTTTTAATATAAGAACTGTTAGAGATATGTTGCCCAAAATCACAATAAATGGCAGCAATATAAAGAGAGATAATTCCCTAAAACATCTAGGAATCACTTTTGACAGGAGTCTGTCTTTGAGATACCATGTGGAAGAGGTTGTTTTAAAGACAGGAATAGAACTCAATGCTTTGAAGGTGATGGCATCGGCGTGAAGGGATGGCAAGGGATATCAGCTCAAAGGAGGTGCTCTTGAATGGCACAAGCAGAAGTCACCATAACAAATGTTTGTACTGGTGACAAAATAACGCATGGGGAGGAGTGGATGACAGTTTCCCCCAGGAGAAGAGCCTTGCATAGAGTGATCGTTACATTGGACCAAGGATTCCAGAAATGGATAGTTCATAAAACAGAGTCAGGGGTGCAGGACTGATCAATGCAAATTCATGCACAGGTGACACCATTATAAATACTGATGTGTCTGTAGTGAGATGTTAGAAGAGTGGGTGGGATTTTATTGCAAAGGTGAATGAACACTGAGATTAGAAAGCCTCACATACAACATCACTACATCTAGTATGAGAATGGAGGTTGAGGCAGTAACGGCAGCTTTCTGATGACTTGAGAGCAGCACAGCCTGACATGTTGTAATTGCAACAGACTCACAGAAAGTGTTTTGGTAAACTGAATGTGGACTCCTCATTGGCTACTGAAGAATGTGACGGAGCATGTGTGGGAATTTCAACAGTGATTTCACTTTTTGATTGATTGATTGATTTATTCTTTTTCCAGAAAATCTGTTTAGGAACTGATTTGTTTGAGATGAGAGTCATTTAACCAAGGTTATGTTGTAGTCTATATTAAAAAGTAAATTGTAATGAACAGAGAAATTATTTTTAAACTAAATTAAAGAAGCTTACTTAAATCAATAAAAGAGTTACAGAAATAACACTGATTTGACGCATCAGCGGAATAGAAGTTAACAAGTTCTGTTACCTTGAAAAAAGTCTGATGTATGATGGAAGATGCCTTGTCAAAGAACTCAACACCTTGAGCGTTTTGTTGTTGTTGTTGTTGTTGAGCATACAGGGCTAGACTAATATTTTTAAAGACCGACTGGCACTCGGATTGTGATGTGGTCTGTATTACGCCAGCGGCCTTTACTTCCCAAGACTATACCTGGTACCCACTCAAGGTTTGGTTGATCTGGAAGCCAAGGTCATTTTTGAAAAAAGTCTAGGCTCCATCTGGCCCGAACCCACAACCTTCTGCAACCATCTAGCCACAACACCATGGCGACTCCCTCCAATATGAATTACCATGACAAAACTGGCCTATTGCAAGACTAACTTCATGCTCTCCAATAAAATACAATTTGCACTGAGCTAAATATTGCTCAAATGCAATATACAGTTGTACAGTTGCAAGCATTTGTGGCAGGGACAATAAGCAGACAGAGAGACATCTAGTGGCAACAGAAATAGATTAACATGCCAGTCCTTACAGCCTTACTTTTATCTGAGTAATGTGATGAAAAGACTGCATTTTTTTTTAAGAATCAGAACTATAAATAAAACATTCTTATTATATTAAAATTATCAGATTGTTTTTTCTGGACTGCTAACTAACTCCTTCATTACTCGGCAGATATTATTTAAATTACTAGTTCTTAGAAAAGTTTTATTTTAACTAATGAATAAAGGTTAAATGTTAACATTAAAGTGGCAAAGATCAACTTCAGTCCACCGGGTTTTATCCCTATGATCTCTCTTCTCAGAATGGATAGCCTGCTGAGAGCATTGCACAAAGCACAAACTCCTTAGTTCTGGCAACGATCTTCAGGAATCTCCACAAAAATTTCATACGTGAACTAAACTGCGATGCTATGTAATGAATCCACAACCTTTAGAGTGTGAAGCAAATGGCTTGACCACTTTGCCATGGTGACCCCCCCCCCCCCCCCCCCCCCCCAACTGATAAATAACTAATAATTGTTTGGTTCAGAATTAAAGTTAAAACAAGAGGAGTTAAATTAACAAGTGTAGTACAGCCGTTTAGCTGAACAGTTAGATGTGGTATCAGGGGAAGGAAAATGTATCAGGTAAGTAAAGACTTAAAGAAACCCAGTGTGTTGCTTTGGTATTGAATGAGTACTGGTACTTCAAAAACATCAGGTCTCCCGTAATCTCATATCAAATCATTGGTTCTTAAATATCAAATAGTGTTATCCCACACTTCAGTTACTGACATTTTGTATATCAATAGGTGCAGCGAACTTGTAAAAACATATCATCCTTTAGTGCCATGTCATACCATTTACACACACTTACAGACAGGCAGGCAGGCATTGAAGAAGTACAGGACTATTTTCAAAACAATTGGATGTCAGCCATATGGCAGACCTATGTTTTTATAGACTAATCACTTCTCATTATCACATGTGGTTAATATCCTGCTGGCCCCTTTACTTTCCAGGACAAATCCTCCTACCCATTTCAGACTGGTTAGCCATAGGGACTCTAGGTCAGTTATAAAACTCTGCTCTGATGCAGTTTAAACCCAAGACCTTTTGGTAAGTGCCTAGCCAGTGTGCTACCAAGGCTGCCACCAGTCTGGGGCTAGGCCACAAATCAAATGTCCATCGTGGTATAAAATTGAAAAAAGGTTCGCCAGTACTCAACAGCAAATCTGTTCTAACAAACTGTGCCACATAAATACTTTGCTCAATGTTCTCTGCAGCAATTCATTCTTTATGGTTTGTATTATTAAATGAAAACAGATTTATCTTTGATACTCTTCAGTTTTTTAATGCTAATTTCTAAAAAATTAATTAAGATACATTTACTCTTTAGATATAAAGATTTTTCTGCGTGGCAAGGCCCATGCTGAATGGAAAATCATGCGAGCAGGAGAGAGAAGAACTGTAAAGCAAGATGAGCAATATATCGATGAACGAATGCTTCTCTGGGGCAAAGGTATATTATGTTCATGAGTTGTATATCACACTTTAAGTCCTTTGGTCACAGACAGTTGTTACTTAAATATGTTCTATTCTAAGAGGTTGTACTTGAATGTGTTAAGCATCTAAGTCTGAAGTAACTATGCAATAAGCAGTGTCAGACAGAAGGGGTTAAACTGACAATGTGGATACAATGGGTTAAACTGACAATGTGGATACAATGGGTTAAACTGACAATGTGGATACAATGGGTTAAACTGACAATGTGGATACAATGGGTTAAACTGACAATGTGGATACAATGGGTTAAACTGACAATGTGGATACAATGGGTTAAACTGACAATGTGGATACAATGGGTTAAACTGAAAATGTGGATACAATGGGTTAAACTGACAATGTGGATACAATGGGTTAAACTGACAATGGGGATACAATGGGTTAAACTGACAATGTGGATACAATGAGCTAATGCAGCAGTTATATAGTGTAGAAGAAAGTCAGAACAGTATGTTTTGTCTGGGGTGACCATAAAATCTATAGTGAGCTGATTGGTATCCAAAGAGTTAACAAGTCATGAACTGGAGAACTAAAAACATGACAAAAACATGACAGAATCAGCTTCTTAGCAAGTAGTCAATAAAAATATGTTCTTCTATGCGGTTTTTGATGAAGATAGATTTATAAAGCAGCATAAAGCATCTGCATATCTTAATAAGAAAACCCAAGGCTTTGTATCAGAAATGGTCAAAGGTCTCCAATTGAATGTTTCTATGTCACTTAAAGCATTTAAAGAGTTAAAAACATCTGATATATCCCCAGTTCACATGGATATTCACTGCATGCCAGTTACATGAGAGCAACAGTCCAATATTATACTTCTTACTTAGTGAAAATATTATTTTGTACACACGTGCGCATGTGTGTGTGTATGCGCACATGTGCATCCACGCACGCGCGTGCGCACGCATACACACACACACACACACACACACACACACACACACAGAGAGAACTAGCTAGCTACAGGGATTGATCAATACTGTGGTGGTAGAAAATGATAAAATGGGCCTCGGGGTAAAATAGGTCTCATCTTCAATAATGTGAAAAACAGAAAATGGTAATATGAAACACAACAATAGTGCCTAAATGTATAATAAAAGTCAAAGGAATTATTTTAGGACAGTTAAATAAATTTAAGTATCTAGGCACATGGATAACATCCATTGCAAGATGTGTCACGGAGATTAAGAACAGAATGGGAGAGGTCAAAACTGCATTTTATAAAATAAAGACCATTTTATGCAATAAATCCATGTTATTAGAGGTTAGGAAAAAAAAATATATATATATAGTAGACTCCTTAAAAGTCTATGGTTAAGCACCAACAAGGAGATAAAAATTAGAATTTTGAGTGCATGCATCTTCCCTGTGGCTTCATACGGATGTGAATCGTGGACTGTCAGTCCTTAAGAAAGAGAATACGGGCTTTTGAGCTGAAATGCTAAAGAAAAATTCTCAGAATATCTTGGACAAAGAAGAGGAGAAATATTGACATCTTAAAAGATCTGAACATCAAGGGAGATTGGCTAATAAACAACATCCTTTATCTGAAGCTGAAATATTTTGGTCATATCAAGCGCCCCGGATTGGAAAAAATTATAGAAGAAGGCATAGTACCAGGAAGGAGGGGCTGGGAGCGACCGACACGAAAATGAGCACAAGATATAAGGGACTCCTTGAGTATGAAAGTTCATGAGGTGGGAGAACTGGCGAGAGACCAAGTTTTTTTCATGTAGACTGTGATGAGAGCGACGTTCTGCAAAGGACCTGCTACATGATGATGATGATGATATATATATGAGGGGAAGTCGATAAGTAAGTCACAAATGGTTATGGGAAAACGTAGTTGATAGTTTCTAAAAGTGTCATTAGGTGACAGCAGCATTGAACTTTATGTCTCTGTTCGTTAGGTGGTGCTAGGTGTTGCCTGCCCATTGGCAACACTGAAACAAAATAGTGACTGTACTTACAGAGTGTACCCTTAGAGAACAATCTGCTGTTGTGATTTTTGTTTTGGGCATAAGGGCTGCCTGCATAAGGAAATGCTTCCTGTTTATGATGATAAATGTTTATCTAAAGTAATGCATAGCTTCGTAAAAAATAAAAATTATCAGAGACACTCTAACATTGTTGATGAAGTCTGATCTGGTCGTCCTGTTGAGATTGCAACAGATGCATCCATCAGTGGGTGGAGGAGATGATTAGAGGTGACAGGCGAGTAACGCTTGACTCTGTAGCAGCTGCAATAGGGTGCTCAGATGGTTCAGCATACATCAGCATAATGCACGATCAATTGAAATTTAAGAAAGTGTGCTTAAGGTGGGTACCCAGACAATTGACAAACGAACACAGAATGAACAGATTAGGCCTGTCTTTGAAGCATCTCTATTGATATGCAGATGAATGGGATTATTACTGGGCATGAATCATGGGTGCATCACTACCAGCCCAAATCAAAGCGTGCTTCATTGCAATGGCAACATCCTTCAGCGCCTTGTGTTAAAAAGAAAAATTCAAGGTTACGGCATCAGCAGGGAAGGTAATGCTGACAGTGTTCTGGGATTGTCAAGGAGTGCTTTTAACCAGTAAAAAAAGAAAGGTGACAATTTGAATGCTGATTCATACAGTAAAGTTTTGTCAATGCTTCATGATGCAGTTCAAAGAAAAGGTATAGGCCTGCTGACTAGAGGAGTACTGCTCCTTCATGACAATACCAGACCACATATGGCTCAGGTTAACTCAGGAAAAAAATTAACCATCTAGGGCGGGAACTTCTGGAATATCCACCTTACAGCCCTGAATTTGCTTCTAGTGATTTCCACCTTTTTGGTCCACTGAAAACTCACCTTGGCAGGAGACATTTCACGAATGGTGCAGAAGTTGAATGTGAAGTGAAAATATGGTTTAGAAAGTATATCATGCAGTTTTGTGCAGCAGGTCTGGGAGGACTGATAAAATGATGGAACAAGTACATCAATGTTGGTGGAAATTGTGTTGAGAAATAAAGGGACAGTGTTTGTAAAAATAAATGTTTTCAGGTTGTTATCATCTTTATTTTTTTTACCATTGAGCATCACGTTGCCGCTATCACAGGCTAGCTGTAAACTGCAAAACCGAGCCAAAAAAAAGGCACATATATCGCAGCCTAGCTATAAACCACAATACAACTTGGCTGCTGCCCAGTTAAGGGCTAAACAAAAAAATTATGTCACCCATCGGTGAAATGAACCCCGGTCACCCGCGTGACAGGCGGGATGCTTACAACTACGCTACCAAAGACTCAGGAATTTGGTAGAAAGGAAATTATATAATAATGGGAAGTTCAGTGTTACACACACAAAGGTGGCCAATCAACTAACTAAAAATAAATCCGGGCTGGCAACAAAACAAATAATGAAATGATCGTTGCTGGAGCTTCGTCGTTTATGGTTAGTGCAACACTCATACATACATACAATCACAGAGTCTAAGGCAACGTTGTGTGAAAATATGAAAGGGATCGATGAAGAAATGTTGGAGATTATAGATAACAACCACGGAAAATTAACTTACTTACTTTACTTTTACTTTTTCCTTCCACGTATGACGCTAAGCGTTGTGGGGAGATGCAAGTTCCTGTCATAAGCAAGGCGGGCAGCATCTGATGTTCTGAGGCCATGCTTTTGGCAGGTTTCGGAGACCCCGTCAATCCACCGTTTCCTTGGTCTTCCTCTTGCCCTATATCCTGAGCTTCTTTGGTTGAAAATTTGTGATGTTATTTGATCATTTTTCATCCTGGTTAGATGTCCAAACCATTTCATTCTTTGATGTTCTATGTAGTCTAAACATGGTGTAGTTTTGACAGTGTTTCTAATGTCTATATTCTTTATCCTGTCTAGTCTGGTCTTATTCGCTGCTTTTCTTAGACATTTCATTTCACAGGCTTCTATTTTTCTTTCATGGGTCTTGTTGATTGTCCATGTCTGGCACTGGTAGCAGAGTGTTGGAATGAAGATGGTGTTTATCAATTGTCTTTTGGTCTTCATGGTTATATCTGGATGTTTAAGCAGAGGTGATAGTTGGTATGTGACAGCATTTGCTTTCTGTATTCTTGTTTCTATCTCTCTGTCCATTCTTCCATCCTCTGTAAATATACTGCCCAAGTATTTGAACTCTTTGGTTTGCTTGATTTTGGCACTTCCAACATTTATATTCAGTGGCCTGTGTGTTCTGCTGATCTTCATAACTTCTGTTTTTTCTGTACTGATTCTCATATTATGTTGTAAACAGCTGTTGTTGAGAGTAGTCAGATGTTCCTGTAGATCATATTCATTTTGATACAGTATGCTTTGATCATCAGCAAAAAGTAATTCGTTTATAGCATACACGTCTGGGTTTGCTTCTACAGTGATCTTATCCATGTATGTTATGAAAAGTAATGGTGACAGTACACATCCTTGTCTGACACCAGTTGTGACTTTGAACCATTCAGAAAGACCACTAGATGTTCTTACTGCACTTTCACTTTTTTCATAGAGGGCTCTGATGTTGTCTAATAATTGACCCTGCACTCCGTAATCGTCAAGAATTCTCCACAGCGGAAAATTAACATTTATGTTAAAATAGATAATGTACATAATGAATAATGTTCAATGAATAACCAAAATGAGATGTACATATTTTCTAGCTTTAAGCACTACTTGTGAAACAATGTTCTTTTACTTATTTCAGATGACAATGATTCCAACCAGGGCATACCAATACTAACTAGAGGTCGCCATTGCTACCCATTTAGCTTTCAACTTCCAGACACTGCACTGCCTTGCTCATTTGAGAGCAAAATTGGAACAATTCGATATTATGTACGGGTTCATCTCAACATTCCGTATGCATCATGCCCTCAGTGTATTCGCTACTTCACTATCATTGGACCTCAGACTGACTGTATGGATGAAAGATTTCTGGTTAGTGTCATTTTAAGATTGCAAAATTTTATTTTAAATGACACTAATTTAATAACAATAGTCTTATCTGACTTATGAGTTTGTTTTCAGTGTGTGAGATTTCTGCAGCTGTAAAGTCTGCCATTCTTTTTCTTCTTCTTTTTCTGCCGATCTATCCCCCAGTGGCGCATAGACCCTCAACCAACTCACGCCAAGTCGTTCTATTATTTTGCCATTACATGGAGCTCTCCCCATGTCCTCCCCATCTTTCTAACTTCATTCTCCAGCTCTCTTCTCCATGTGTTTTTTGGCCTTCCTTTATTCCTATGCCCCTGTGGGTTCCAATGCAAAAACATTCTATTTATGCTGTTCTCCTGTTTTCTCAGTGTGTGTCCTATCCAATGTTAGCGTCTTTTCCTCAGCTCTATTTCCCTTGCTACTTTCATTGTTCTCCCTATGTCATAGAGAGTTCTAATATTCCAGGTGCCAATTCTGGAGGTTTTCCTAGCTGAGAGGAGGTATGTCGATGATCCGGACTCCTTTCGGCTTTCTCCATATCGTGTCATACTTCTTCTACTTGAAGAGCCTCCTCTCATCTTGGTTGGCTGGGTTTTACTTGCTTCTCTTTTTGACTTATCCATTGTTGAGGTAGCCAACCTCAAGCCCAACCCTACCCTTAGTCACCTCTTAGGACATGCCTGGTAGGGTGCAGTGTCACTATTCTTTGTTTCTCGTGAGGGCCCCGGTGACATTCGGGCGGCCATTCTTTTTGGTAGATTCTTTTTTCCTGAAGTGGGCTTCTTCCTTCACTTCAGCTTGAACACTTTCCTGCTGTGCATTTTTCATATTATGATTAGATTCCTTTACCACTCAGGTTATGATGTCTCTCCTCAACTTGTTCATGCTTGCATGTCTCTGTGAATAATAGCTATGGATATCATCTTGGAAAGGGGGGGGGGGAGTTGGGGGTCTTTTTCCAGTTTATCACTGCTAGTTGGTGATTGAAAAAAATTTGTTGAAATGTGTTCATTTGGCATGCACTATATGGGACCAAGTCATTGCATTCTGCTCTGAAAAGGCTGTGCAACAGTCATTTGACAAAGAGGTGCATCATTATGGTAGGGTTTCTGTCATTGTCTGAGGAGGCTTCTGCAGACATAACAGGAGCCCACTCTACATCATCCAAGGGAACTTGACTGGCCCAATATGTCAGAAGGAAATACTGAGACCAATTTTTCAGCTTGCTCTGGAGGCCATGGGTGGTAAACCATCCTCTGAGATGAAAGAGCTCGAACCCATCAAGCTTGCATGGTCAGTTACTTTATTTACAAACATGGGATCATAGGGATAACATGGCCAACTCATTCACTTCACCTTTACTGAGCACCTCTGGGATATCCTTGGTCAAAGATTGTCAACAAATCACACACTGTCAGTTAATGTTGCACAGCTGACTGCCCTTCTGCTTCATGAATGGCTAGCTGTTTCTCAGGATACTCAATGCATCTACGCTGTCTTGAATGCCTTGCTGCAAACAGTGGTCATACCCCGTTTTGAGATGTTTATTTGTCTTATGTCTGTTGTGTGACTTTTGAAAAGGTCACTTCACAGCTTCGTTGCATTTGAGTGTATGTTTCCATTTCTTTACATGGCATGTAAATTTAGTTTTCCATAAATGCAGTTTTCACTTATATTACTAACTTTTACATAAGCTTTGTTTTTCTAATTGGTCCTTGACTTTTGATAAGTCATATATATTATATAGGAATAATGATAGAAGTGATGTATAAATGTTCTGTCCTTTGATCAAAGTGCCCTTTTTATAATATTTCTTTCCAGACTCCAGTGTCTTCAGTAGCCAAGAGGAACTCTTGCAGTCTTTGTTGTGGGAAAGGTCCACTGATTTTGCGAGCAACTCTGGACAGATCTTCATTTGTTTGCGGAGAACACATAAAGTTGAAAGTTGAAGTACAGAATGGAAGTGACTCAGAAGTTTGGGTTTTGTGTAAGCTTATTCAGGTATGTAATTCAAGTAATGTTTTCCTTAAACATTTGTTTTAGTGTTCGGCTGTCTTCAGTTGCAATATTGTGGTGACATGTTTGTCATGTCCTTTGTCTGGAGCTTTATCTGGAGCACACATCATGAATCATAATCCATTTTGTCATCTACAGTGAGAATGAACTTGGCGTTACTTATATTAATATTAGCGGTTAGGTTTTTAGGCTTTCCCTATGATCTTTCCTTGTTTCCTTTGTCTATCTTGCTTAGAATGTTTCCACATTAGGCTAATTTTTCTGTTCTCTCACTTTGATACAAAAAATGTAATGACTTCTCCTGACATCTTTGATGATATCTAGTATCTAGTCTGCAGATCCCAGAACTTCAGGATTTGTTTTCTTCCCTTTCCTAAATATTCTTTCAAAAATAACATCTCAGCTCTAATCTTTTACATTTGCCATGTATATGTGTCATTAAACCACTCACAACCTAACATTAATCTTATTTTAACAAGTAGGGAATGCCAATTCTATTCTCTATAAATTAGAAATAATTATAGAACAAAATTTTGAAACCTATGGAATAATGTCATCAAATGACAAGGCAAATATCTCTACACTGAAGAGAGCATGATCACATCAGAATAATTCTAAACCAAAGATCCCTTTACACTAGAGCTAGTGGCGCATCAGTCAGATGAGGTTAGACACATCTATATGGACAATCTGCCCTCGATGGGTGATGCGGTCAACATCATGCAGGCTGCCTTTACTTCCATGGACTTTACCTGGTACCCATTTAAGGCTGGTTTATCCTGGGACACGAAAAGCAGCTGCTGGGAGACTATTCCTGGCTATAAACCGAGGGTTTCTTAGCGAAAGAGAAATTGGCAAGAGGACGAAAATGGCTGTTTACCGCTCTACCTATGTACCAGTCCTGACCTATGGGTGTGAGTCATGGGCAATGACAACAGCTCACAGAAGCCAGCTGCAGGCCTCGGAAATGAGATATCTGAGAAAGGTGGTCCAAGGGACAAGAAGGGACAAAGTCCGCAATCAGACAATAAGTCAAGATCTTGATACCCAGTCCATATAAACCCAAGTGGATCAGTCACAGTTACGATGGTTTGGACATGTATGCAGAATGGGAGAAAATCGGCCACCATGGCAAGCATGGGAGGCTAAGAACCAGGAAACTAGACCTCCGGGGTGCTTAGGGTCCGCTGGGAAGACAACATCCGACAGTCCCTTACTAACAGAGGACTGGAATGGAACAAAGCCAGAAAGAAAACTGCTGATAGAGACGTCTGGCGATCTCTCTGGCAAACCTCTACACCCCAAGGTAGAAGAGGAGCGACTAAGTAAGTAAGTAAGTTATCCTGGGAGCCAGGGTCATGCTTGAGAAAATATGGCTTCCTTCCGATTTAAACCCACGACCTTTGGATCTGCAGGCGAGTGTCTTGCCCAGGGGTGGAAAAATTATTGCATGTGGGCCAAAACTAGCCTACTGATCAATTTTAACTGACTTGCGAGGCTGAAGTAAAATGTCTGGAAATAACCAGCTTGAACAGACACATTTAGGAATATAAAGAAGATCTTCAGTGGAAGAGAATGTCTGACCAGATGAATATCAAGGGAATATATTCTTAGATTATCCTATAAAAATATCATGCTACCAGGAAATCTAGATATTTATAATGGATTTTTCTTTCAATATGTCCCATGACTTGCAGACAAAAATAAAAATTGCCTGCCCCTGATCACGACGGCTCTTATAAATATAGTGGCTTCATAAAATCATAGTGCCCAATTTCTGAAACCTGAATATGAAGTCTTATCCAGTACTGAATTAGTGATTATGTAGATAAACTCTAAAATAATGTGACAATACAAATATTAATTGCACACAACCATAATCCATTTAATTATTTATAATGATTTTAAATATGAAACAACAGAAAAGATAACTCCTCATTAACAAGAAAAATTACAGTTTATTTACATGATTTTCATTCTGTTTCAGTATGTGGAGTTTTTCATCAACAAAGGTGTCCTAGGCTTGTCTAAAGAAGTGCGGCACACAGTTTTGGAGGCAGAAAGTGAAAAAGTGCCTCCACATGAAACATCACAACTGGATGAGTTGATGGACAGATTAGTATTACCCATCATGCCTCCCACCACAGTTGATGTTTGTGGACTGGTGCAGATTTATTATACCTTAAAGGTGAATATATGTTTTAAACATGGTTGTTTAGACAGTGAAATAATGAGGATGCAAAACAGAAAATTGCACAGTTGTTTGTTTAGCATATTTTGCTGCTATCTCATTAGGTACATACTTAAAAATTGACATCAGCATGCAATGAAACACAGCAGTTAATATCTTCAACTGAAATGCGCATATCACTTAGTCCACTGTTGCACTGCACATCTGTGTATTTCTTCTTCTTATTGTTAGCATTCATCGGCTGTAAACTCCAGCAGAAAGTCACAGTTGTTTATCCATCAACCATTTCAGGGCACTGACAATGTTCCAAACTTTGAACTTTGCGTGCACATCCACGTTACAGATCTGGCTTGTTTGTATGCAGACTGCTGATTCTTTGCTTCACAGGCAAATGCACTCTGACTTCAATGGAACATTCCCTGATTAGTCACCTTGTATGACATGCTGTGTGTGGGAGATGGTGAGTCTGCCTCATTCCCCCTTTTCAAATGGCACACTGGAATCCACACATGAATTGGGCATAGCTCCGAATAACGGCCTCCAATTACCTAGGTCAAAAACCTACTGTTACGGGGACTCAAGAGTTGCTTTCATTTTAGTTGCATCCATAACCCTTCAATTTTTTGGGTGCTAGGGTTAGGGTTAGGACTAACCCTAACCCAAACCTTAACACTGCCACCAGAATCTGTCACAACAGTCCAACAGCGACACTAACGACATCGGACATTTGCAACAAGAACATTCTACTGTGTTTTGTACTAATCTGTTGTAGCAAGTCATTGCAACCAATGCAGTTTATTATTCAGAAATATATATAAGTCGGCAGGTCTAACAACTACAGCTGCCAGTTTATCAATCGGTAGAATAATATTGCTAATCTGTATCGGAGCTGATGGTCTGCCTATTTGCCGGAAATAAATCTTTCCTAATTTTACATATTATTGAGGCCCTGTAAGGGTAGGATTTTGAGCTAGATAACTTGAGGTCATTATTCAGCGAAGTGCCCATGGATTGTGCATTTCTGTTTAAAAGATTTTTTTTTTCAATATACCATACAATAAAATTATTTCATATAATGTTTATGTACCCATTACTTACATTTATGATGGGAAGGCATTGTTTTTAATGTCTACAAATGTCAATAAGTGCTTTGTAAAGATTCAAATACATTTATAACTGTCATGCAAGTGTTTTTGTTGGAAAGCAACAGTAGCTCTTGATAAAAAATTAGACAATATTTAGAACAGATATCTTCAAAGAATACTGGACAGATTTAAGATCCAATACACAAACAAGACAAGAGACCAAGCAAGAAAATGTATCAAATTTTATAAGAAAGTGATGCTGGAATTACATTGGCCATGCACTCAGAACGGATAAGACAAGACTCCCCATCAAGCCCTCATATGGGCACCAGAAGGGACAAGAAAACGGGGAAGACCAAGAGAGAGTCTGCATAGAACCATCATCAGGGAAGGCTCAACCAAAGGCCTAATGAATATCCAAGTCCTAAATCAGGTGGCAATGAACCACCAGACATTGAGAGCTATGACCTCTGCCCTTTGCGCCACCTTAACTCAAGAGGAATGACTAACTAACTATCTAACTAACTAACTAACTAACTAACTAACTAACTAACTAACTAACTAACTAACTAACTAACTAACTAACTGTTATGCAACTTTTTTCTTTTTAACTTATACCAAAACTCTATTACATTTTGCGACTACTTTGATCAGGTTTGCCTTTCATTAGATACGACTTAACTGTCAGTAGCTGCAGACATGTCAGTGCCAAAATAAACTTGTTCTCAGAAAACAGCTAGACTTAGGTGGAAGATGGATGGGGCTGTGTGAATAAGAGGTTTCTGTATCTGCCTCTGTCCCAGAAGTTACATGCTATACTTGTTTTAATCTACATGTACACTTTGCTTGTCTCATTTTCAGTTGTATCTTGAAACATCCAAAAGTAAGGGAGAAGCTGCAGAAATCAATTTCCCAATTACTATAGCAACAGTGCCATTTAGGATAAACAATGGATCAATGCCTGAGATACATTATGGTAAGCAATAAAAATGCAGACTGACAGATTGTATTTTGAAGGTATTCTCATTAAGAAAGAAATAAGCAACTATATAATGTGATTAATGGAAGCCGCCATGTAGCAGCTAGATGCAGGGTTTAAACATGACCTTGGCTTCCAAGCCTAAAGTGGTTACCAGGTAAAGTCCTGGGAGGTAAAGGGTAGCCAGCGTGATGTTGCTTACATCGCCCATTGAGGGTCGATTGGTCTGTACAATAATGAGCCTAGCCTGATATGTCTGATGGACCACTGGCGTGTAAAGGGACCTTTAACTTGACTTACTGATGTGATCCTTTAGCTTGCCATATGGATGTCAGTGATAAGAATAGATCATAGCTAAATTAAAAAGACTACGTGCTTTCCTTGGAAACAAGATGGTTAGAAGTAAAAGATGTATGTAAATAAATGCTTGAGAACAGGCTGCCATCTTCACTAAAAGAGATATAAATCATTATTGTTAAAATTAACTCTTTTAGGACAATATTTTTCTTGGGGTTTCGACAGCATTAATGTATAGGGACACATAATAAATCAAATTTAAAGAGAAATGAGTGCTGAATAAATATAAACTATTTAGGTGTCAGTATTACAACAAAATATTATTAAAATCACACAACATTCAAGAATGTTAGACACATATAAGGATTATTTATATAGAAAACTTTGTGCTTACCTTACGTTTTACTTGTTCAACAATACTGCTATCCATTTCTAAGAATTTACAAGCCATCTCTGCTCAATTATGTATCAAGTAGTCTTTATCTGAAACAATTAATTTAAATACTTTGGATGTTATGACTATTTTTGTATGACATGTCAGATTTCACAACAGCCAAAATCAGGAAAACAGGTTGAAATAGAGATGATTCGCTTGAAATCTTTTGATCAGTCTTTTTCCTAACCTAAAATATCGGCAATAGGTTTGGCATTATCAGTCATAAAATCAAGACTTTCTAGCTGAGATTGATCAACGACAGAGTAGTATGAACAGTTCTAGACCTTTTCCTAATAATTTGGTCTGGAAAAAAATCACATAAAAATTGTATCACATCTAGGTATTTAAAACAAATCAGAAAGGGACTCAAACACCAAAACAAACTTCAAAAATAAAATGACTTCGTTCTGCTAATTCTAGTTTTTCAAAACATGTTCACACAAATTTGATTTCCCAGCAAACGAAACAATATTAGAATGTGTCTATGAAGCCCCACTATAGTGGCAAACAGTCTGAATGGGATGGATTCAAAAGCCACTTAAATGGTGATCACTCCCTAAAGAGTTAAGGATAACAGATAGTATTCACTGCATTTATTTTATAAGGAAACAAGTCAAATGGTTTGTGTTTTTGTGAGAGTGAAGATCAGATATAACTCTATGCTTGCAGCTGAAACATTTCAAGATTCAGACCTTGAGGTAGACTGAGAATTAGGTAGATATATTGTTTGTACACAAACTACATGAAGTTCAGGCAACACATTTGACAGATGAAAAATAACTTCTACTTTTCTGAACTTTAACAGCAAATATAGATCAGAACTCATTGTATTTTTGAGAAAACAAAGAAGATAAATATATTGTATTTTCTTAACTGTGTAATAAAACTGGCACAGCTACGCACCTTTATGAGTTTAAAGCAAGTTAATTGAATGTTCATTAATGATTAAAAATAAAGGCTTCATTAATTAAATCTCTTCCATAGAGAGCGCTGCTCCAAATGTAGAAGGGGGGATGTACATCAGCCCAGAGTTCCAACTGGGTCAGGTTTACATGGGAGATGAAGTTGATCCAGAGACTGACCAGACGATTCTCTATCACCCTGTGTACGTGTGTGTGACTGAAGAATGTCCTCCCACAAAGCCAGATACTCATCTGCTACAGGTAGGTTGTCTACTTGTTAAATATTACAACTCAATGAAATAAGAGTTATTTTGAGATCCTACAGCAAAACAGCACCTCATAAGGACCTCATGTCAGGGGAGTAGACATCACAGACCATGTCAGTAATATCTCCAACATATACACAAGAAGGAATATATAAGGAAAATAAATAAAAAAAACAAAATATTATAATTTTTTTTAAATGGTAAAACAACACACATGTTTGGTGTTGCAGTGATAGAAACCTTTGTCATGAATGACAGGACACAGAATGACTAATAAGAACTTATTAAACTGTACACCACAAAATTAATGAAAATCTAGCACAACAAAAGGAAAATACTAAATTGGTAATAACTGGTCCTTTAGTTTTGTTTATAGTAATAATTCACTGTAATACTGGTATAAAGGTTGTTGCGTATCCTTTACAGGACGTTGCAGAACCAACCCTAACAGCCCCTGGCTGTTGTGTGGTTTCTCTAGGCAAATTACGTCCAGTAGTTTGCCATTGCTTTCTGGACGGTCGGCTTTATTGATACCACTGTCGAAACCAACGCAAGGCGCATTGCCCGCAGCTGGGATCGAACCCGGCATCCCGGCATTACGAAGCGAAGTGTTCGCATCGACTTAGCCACAGAGCCGACAATACTGGTATAAGGATGCCAAATGTCACAGACAATTTAAAAAAAAAAAAGAAGTTTCGAGAAAAACAAACAATGATTCTGTATTTCCAGGTGAATACACACTGATTTATTTCTGTGTCAAAGCATGATGAATTATAGAGAAATGTTCTGTTACAACTATTATTTAGTCAGCTAATTGCTTCAGAATTAGCAGAATTTGTGTATGTGTATCATAAAACACATGATCAAATTTGACCTGTCTTCTGCTTATCTCCAATTGCTAAATGATAATTTGTCCTTTCACTATATAAACTTCTTTAAATTGCTCACAATTGTTTCTTCTTCTTCTTCTTCACTTCCTCTTTTACCGCTGTGGGTGTCGAGGGATATATAAGGTTCTGTTTCTAGCTCTTCTGGCTGCCTCGACCATAGGCACATCGTACTGTTGTAGAGTTTCTCTGATGTTATCCTTCCATCTTGTTCTTGGTCTAACTCGTGCTCTACGTCCTTCTTCTCTTTCCATGTATGCTTTGTATGGTATGGTGTCACAAAGCATTCTCTCTAAGTGGGCAAACCATTTCCCTTGCTGTCTTTGTATGTAATCCAGAATTGGCTCTGTGCCGACTTGTTCTCTTATGATCTCATTCCTGATCTTATCTCTTATGGTCACTCCTACAGCCCTTCTCAGACATCTCATTTCCGTGGTTACTAATTTTCTTTTATGGTTTGTTGTGAGTGACCATGTCTGGCACTGGTAGCACAGAGTTGGTATAAATATGCTTTGAATAAGATGTCTCTTTGTGCTGATTGGGATTGTCTTATGCTGTAAGAGGGGGGCTAGCTGTCCCAATACTTGGTTTGCTTTACTGCATCTAATGTCAATTTATTTATCCAATTTCCCATCTTCGGTAAATGTAGTTCCCAGATATTTAAACTCAGATGCCTGTTTAATGCCTTTGTATTCTATTGCTATGCCTTTGTATTCTATTGCTATGTTTAGATCTGTCTTCTTTTTTCTTATTGACATTACTTCTGTCTTTTCAGTGTTGATTCTCATATTATTTGTTTTACATTCTTCATTCATGGATTTTAGATGTTGCAATTTCATGGCTGTATCTGCTATCAAGGCCTGGTCATCTGCAAAGAGTAATTCGTTGATCTTACTAAGATCTTCATTCATGGGCTTGGCATTCTTGCATATACTGTCGATGTAGGTGATGAACAGCAGTGGTGATAAGACACACCCCTGTCTTACTCCAGTTGACACTGTGAAAGGATGAGATGTTCCCTGATTTATTCTAACTACACTTCTACAATCCCTGTATAAACTTTTGCACACTTCGATGAGGTGTTCGCTTACTCCATATCTTGCCATTATTTTCCATAATAATTGTCTGTCGACTCTGTCAAATGCCTTCTCCTGGTCTACGAATGCCACAAATAAGTTCTTATTGTATTCAATGTTCTTTTCTATTACCTGTTTAAGTGTGAAGATTGCATCTGTGAAGCTTCTATTTCTCCTAAATCCCATCTGTTCTTCTGCCAGCTGTGGTTCTATCACTGGTCTCAGTCTTGTTTCTATTATCTTGGCATACATTTTGCCAACATGGCTTAAAAGAGAGATGCCTCGATATTGACCGCATTCTCACTTGCTTCCTTTGTTTTTCCACAATGGTATAACTATTGCATGTTGCCAATCAATAGGGGCAGTTTGTTGTACCCATGCTGCATTGAATATTCTGTGAAGCCATCTGATGCTGCTTTCACTTGCTGCTTGAATTATTTCTGTTGGTAATCTTTCAGCTCCTGGTGCTTTATATTTGGGAGACTGTTTAATGACTTTTTCTATTTCATCCATTAGTATGTGTGGTTCTAACACTGTTGCTCTGTGCTCTTCATTTGTTCTTTCCTGATGATCTCCTAGAGGATTAAAGAGCTCATTGAAGTATTCCCTCCATCTTTCTGCTATCTCGGGTGGATCTATCAATGGCCTTCCTGTCTTATCATTAATTATTTCAGTGGGGTTATAGCTCTCATCTCTTTTCCACATATTTTTAACTACTTTGAAAAATTTTCTGCTGGCTGTTTTCTCATTTTCTGCTAGTGACTCACCGAAACGTTCCCAGGATGCTTGTTTTGCTTTCTTGACACTCCTGTTGGTTTCTCTCCTTTGCAGTCTATAGTTTATATAATAATCTTCTTCTTTCTTTGATTTTATCCACTGTTTATATAAGTCTTTTTTCTTTTTAATTGCTTCTTTTACTTCTTCGCACCACCAAGGTGAGTATTTGTTATTTCCCCGTCTGTTTCCACTCTTCCGTTTTCATCATAATTCTTCTGCAATACTAAGCATAGTGTTTTTATATATACTCCATTCTTCCTCAATATTGCCAACTACATGTGGAAGTTGTTTGAATGCTGTCTCTACTTTCTGTTGTAACTGTTCTTTTACTCCTTCCTGTTTCAGATTTGCTATCTTGATGAGATCCTTGTTTTTGTTTAATTTCTTTCTGTGTTTCTTTAATGTAAGATGTTTTGCTGTTAACACAACTATTTTATGGTCAGTGTCACATAGACCATTAGGGATTGCTCTTGAATCAAGAATTCTCCTTCTTCCTTGAACTCTGGTAAGTATAAAGTCAATCTGGCTCTTGATGGAGACATCATTCCATTTGTACCAAGTGTAAAGTTGTGAATCTCTATGGTCAAAGAATGTGTTCGTAATAAAAAGATTGTGCTGGCTGCATAGATCCAATATTCTTTGACCATTTCCATTTCTAGCACTGTTCTTAGCTGCATATGGACCTAGAAACTGTTCGTATTCTTTTCTGTTATTTCCTACCCTTCCGTTGAAGTCACCCATTACATATAGTATGCTGCTTCCCTCAACTTTCTTTATCTCATCAGACAGATCGTCAAAGAATTCATCTTTCTGCTCTTCTGTATAATTATCATTGCATGGAGCATATATCTGTATATATGTTTCAGCTTGTTCTCCTCTTTTAATTTTCAAAGTAATAATTCTATCTGAGTGATAATGTATGTCTAATATGTAGTTAGATATGTCCGGATGTACCAGGAAACCCACTCCATTCTTCGATGTTCCTCCTCCTGCATATGTTAGTAAGTAGCCTCTGTGTATTTTCTTATTAATATTTCCCTTGCGTCTTATATCAGCTAGCCCCATTAACTTGATTTTCCTTTTTTCCATAATTTCAATAATCTCTTCTGTTTTATTTCCCAGTTCAGCGGTGTTAAGTGTTGCAATCTTGTATTTCGCTGTTCTTAACATTGCCATGGTCAAATACCGTTTGATCAGTTCGTTTATATCTCATTTTGATTTCTGTAGCGGTAATAAATCCATTGCCGGCTTGCTAGGCCTGTCGCAACTTCACCAGAGCCCCGTTGGCCAGGACGTTTTGGGGTGACCCAGGGTGGCCTTCATGGCTACCGTAGCGGCCCCGTGGCACGAGGCCACACCATACTTCGCCCACACCTAGCAATCCCCTACTTTGTCCTGTTAACACCTCTCACAACGAGGACGTGGGGTTGGCCTTTGAGAGGCTCACAATTGTTAAATACTTCGATTGTCGACATCTTTGGTTACTAATGCTGTTTATAATTCTAAAATACCTGCTTTCATTCAGCTGCAGATCCCCAGGTAGGTTCTGGGGCTCTATTTTGTAGAACAAAAATTGACTGCCTTGCTAACAAGCAAGTCATAGGAGGCAACTTATTGAGGGTGTTGAAGTGTAAAATGGATGTACACACAAAACTCAAGTTCTGGATCAAGACCAAAGTCTAGGAGGGAATGAACAACCAGAACTTCCAGCCGAAGTTTACAGCCGGTGAACACTTGAAAGAAGATTCAGCTGCAGGTTACTTGGCAGCAGACTATTTTGTCTTGATTTCGACAATGGTATGGAGCATTAACCATTCAGAGGCCGTGGCAAAAGTGTAAAAACTGCCTATCAGAAACCACAAACAGCTGTCAAATGGTGCCAGAAACCACAAACAGCTGACAAATGGTGCCATGTAGTGGCAAAATGTGGTGATACCAAGAGAGTCGGTGATGTTTAATAGTTTGGATATCTCCATTTTGGTCAACTCTCAAAATAATGTTGGCATGATTTATTGTTAAAATGATCGCATCAGCTTAACACACTTTAATTGCCCATCACACTCACATACCTGGTATGAAGATAATGAAATTTAATAAAATATTCACATCTGGAGAGATAACATTTAATGCCTGGGTGTGAAATATGTCTCCATGTCATACCCAGTGAATCATTCAGCATGCATCATTATTGGGGTCTCACTGCATCTCAATGTTCTGTTTTTCTTGCGTGCCATTCTTGTTGTCCGGAGTAATCC